GCTGGGGGGAAATGGTTGCCTATGGGGAAAAATCGCTTTGCGATTTTTCCCCATAGGCAACATTGTAATGCGATCGCAAAAGCGATCGCAAAATCCGCATCGGTATGCGGATTCAACGTTAAACGGGGCGCTCATTAAGCGAGGCACCACTGTAGTTAGGACCATTGCTTTAATTTCCGGGGCCTCTCCTTTCTTAGGGATCAGAATATACAGTATATTGAATGCTTCCAGCCTGTGGGCCACTATTTAGTTTTCTATATTTATGGCATATTCTTGTTAGGACTTTGACAGATTCAGTCTGTAGCTTGAAACAGTTCTATTGCTATTCTATCTATCCCCTTATTTCTTCACTTTTAACTAGGTCTTCACAATACAGTCCATGTCAGCATCTTCTGGATAGCACAGTGGTTTAGGTATCTGGTTGTGGAGTCAGAGGCTGGGAATTGGATATCCCATCGCGCATCCTTGACAATGGCTGGACTCAATCCATAGGGCCCATTCCAGCTTTGCAGTTCTAACATCCTCATTATCCAAAAATACCAGGCAGAGTCAATCCAAATTATAAAAACATTCACTGGTATAATATAACAGATACAAGTTTTAACCAAAAGCCAAAGTATCGGTTAAATATCAATGCAGTATGTATGCTGTTCCTAATACAGTGGTGCCTCGCTTAACGAGTGCCTCATTTAGCGATGAATTCGCATAACGATGTGTTTTTTTAGAAAATAATATGCACCGTTATAACGATGTTTCCTATGGGCGATTTTCGCTTAGCGAAGTTTGGGACCATGCTTCGCATAACGAATGCGATTTTAGGTCCCCTGCTTCACTTAACTTTTTTTTCAATTTAAAAAGTGTCTTAGAAGGGTCAAAAACGGTTCTAAATGCTTGGATTCGTTAGAGGACCCCCTAAGTCGTGTGCAAACCTGATTTGGCTTTGATCTGACTTTTCGTTAATTTATGGTGAATTTTTTTTCGGCCCATAGGAACCAATGGAGCTGTCAATGGAGCTGAAGTGTGTTTCATCCACAAGGGATGATGATGATTTCCCTATTAAAATCAAAATTACAGGCAAATAATGTTTTTGGTTCTAAGAAAGTCAAGCCATACCTTAAGAGGTTAACTTCTTCAGGAATACAGACTTTTAAAATCCTCTGGTGATCACCAAACATGAGCCCCTTTACTAAATTGTGAAGACGGCCTCTTTACAATTACAGTCATGCCCCGCTTGATGATCACCCCGCTTCATGATGATGTTTTTGCGATCGCAAAACGATGTTTGAATGGGTTTTTTTCGCTTAGTGATGATCTGTTCCTTGCTTCGGGAACCAATTTTTCGCGAAATGATGTTTTTTCAACAGCTGATCGGCATTTTTCAAAATGGCCGCCAGCTCTCAAAATGGACCCCCGCTGTTTTTAGAAGGCATTTTTCGCAAGAGAGGCACTGGAAAATGGCCATCCTATGGAGGATCTTCGCTTTACAATGAGGTATTTTGCCCATTAGAACGCATTAGCCGGCTTCTAATGCATTCTAATGTGCTTTTTAATTTCGCTTGACGAGGATTTCACTTAACAGCGATTTCAATGGCATGGATTATCCTCGTCAAGCGAGGCACCACTGTATACAATACCCATGAATGTTGGCACGGAATGCAGCGCCCAAGCCCTAGGCCTCACAACAGGGGAGCTCCCAGTGGCCAGGGGGTACCAGGCTCTGAGCAAGGCCCAACATCACACAAAAAGGTTAGATGTACAAACACTGTGACCCTCTCACCTTGCCCCCCCCAATGCCAATGGTTCCATGACTATCGGCCAGAGCACAATAATATTCCCATCTTTTCTCTGAACTCTGCTCAGCAATCTCCATGACTCAGCAGAAGGCAGCTTTCAGCCTGTCCTCTCAGCTCATGCTCTGCCGGTGTAGTAACTGGCAGAAAAACTCTAGGAATACCTGAATGCTTGGCCGGCCTCTTGCCGGAGGCACCTTCACCGGAGAAACCTGCTGAAGAACAAAACAGCCCAGGGTGTGTCTAAAGGAGAGGGGCCAGCCTCTCCTGGTGCCTGTGCTGACAGCTAGACCTCTCTCAAGGGCAGAGAGCTGCAATAACCTCGGTCTCCTAAGAGCTCAGATGGGGAAGGTTTGGCCCTTCCAATGTTTTTGAGTCACAACTGCTACCAGTCCTATTCAGCACAGCCAACGGTGCAGGATGATGGGAACTGCCATTTGACAAGAATCTGGAAAGCCACAGACCTGCTTTGAAGGAAACTCTGCGTCCCTGTGGCTACATCTCGGACACGGCACCCTTCTTGAAGTGGGACGATAGGCGAATATGCCAACCCTTTCCTTTCCCGTTAGAATGAATAGGAAAATTGGGGTTGCGGAGTAGACAGAGTGCCAGTCTAGGGCTCAGGAGACCCGGAGTCAAATTCTACCCAGGTTAAACAGCTCTTCTAAAATAAGCCTCTGTCCCTCACAGATCCTGATTCAATTCGACCCCAGCAGGAACGCAGGGTCATGGAGGAAAGAAGCAATTCGGTGAATACCCAGCTCTTTGAGCGTTCCAAGCTTTCAGGGCAGTTACCAGCATCATGAACTGAAATGAAGAAAGGGTTGGAATGGGAAAAGATTTCCCCCCCTCCTTTGTAAAGCTTCTTCCTTCCTAGGGCCTGGTTCACTTAGACAAGAAGCCCAGGCATAGACACCTATGATCACAAGGTGTTTTAATGAGATCTGGCCTCCCAGCCTGGCTCCTGAGGCAAGGCAGAGCTGCCTCCTCACCAGTCCCTCCACACGCCAACAGAAAAACAGGCCTCAGTGCAGCAAGCAGAGAGAAGAGCGCCTTGCTCAAGGTGATGAAGGCCCATTCCCTCCTGCTCCACGCTGACTCCTGTTGCCTCTTTCCTGATCTTTGCCCCTGATCCTTCTAGTATTTTCCACAGCACAAGACCCTGGAGCGGGCCTTTCAGATCTTCCCAGCCATCCTGTACAGAAGTCTGGAAACAAAGAATTGGCCTGGTCACCTGGGAAAGATCTACAAAGGTGCTCCATTTGGATTTACAACCCAGCTGAGTACACTGGGCAAGATGTACCTCTCGAGTCAGACACGTTGAGAAGATTCAGAAGGCTTGCCAAAAAAAAAAAAAAACTGGAGAAATCCTGAACCAGAGTTGCACTCCGTGCATTCCCAAGTCATACGGAGGGGCTGTTAGGAGCCAAATCAATCAATCAATTAACAAACCAGCAGCAATGAAGTGGGTCCTTCAGACCTAAACGGAATCAATTAAATGAGGGAGAGGCACAGACTCACGAGGAATTGGTATTAAGATGGCACGCGCGCGCGCACACAACATAAAGAGCAAAGGTTCAACTCACCAAGGAACAACAGGACCAAGATGACGATGAGCACGACAAAGAAGGTGTTCCCGTAGGCCACCACGAGCTGCACCACGCGAGACTTGAAAATCTTCTGCCATCTATGAAAGGAGACCAGGATTGAGGACCAAAACTCACCACCGCACCCACTAATCTAGATATTCCATTGGGGAATATAGAGCCAGACTGAGGCCTCCCTCCCAAAGAGGCAGCTTTCTGTTAGCAGCTGTCAAGACAAGGGCGGACGAAGAGCAGCCCTTCGGCTGGACTACAACTCCCAGTACTCCTCTCCATTGGCTATGCTGTCTAGGGATGATGGGAGCTGCAGTCCAGCACTCTCTGAAGGGCTTGCACTCTGCCCACTCCATCTTGCAACAGCCTTCCCTGTTTGACAAGATTCAGATAAAGCAGGAGGAAGGGAACCATTTCCTCTTCAGCTGTTAATGAATAATTACAACTCATGGTGCCTCGTGACTGGCTCTGCTTACAGGGCCTGATGGGAAGTAAAGCCCAACCACATCTGGAGAGGACACACATTGCCTTAGCCTCGAGACAAGGCAAGGTCTCCAAAGATTCCCAACCTTAAGGTTAAAATGTCCAAAGCAGGGGGAGGCAACTTGGCACCTGGCCGGATGTTTGGGAGCAGAATTTGCAACAGCTCCAGCCAGGTAAGGCCAACAGCTTGTGACAATGGAAATTTCAATTCAGAACATGCAGAAGATGCCGGTTGGCCTAGGCGTATGGCAGCCATTCCCGTAACTGGGCACCAGGCAGCCACTTGCAAATGGATGGTGTCCTGGGGAAACAATTAACCTGACACCCAAGATAAAACGAACACTTGGAAGATACAGGGAGACATGTTAGTGGCTGCCAGGCCCTTGAATGGTCCTCAGGCTGCCTTTCTGCCAGAACTGCCCTGGTGACAGGTCGTGAGCAACAGTGACAACAAGGATCAGAAGGCTCCCAGATGCTAGATGAAAGACCTGGCAGCAACTAGATAGGGACCATGATCCTGCCAATATATATCCAGTAGTGTTTGGAATGGGATTAGTTTCCTTAGACACTTCACTTTCATTTTAAAAATATAATATGCTTCTGGTCCTCATGGTTATGAAGATAAGCTTTCAAGTGTAAACAGTGGTTACCAAAATTTTTAAAAGACAGTACAGGAGCTAAATAAGACTTCCGGAGGCTAGAATGTCCTGAACACCTTCTGGTACCTCTTAATAAATGAAACCAGAACTATGCAAGAAAATAACATAAGCACAAGTCATGAGATATGACCACTAATTTTGAAACGTTTATACCCAACCTATCCTCTGCCTAGCTGGCTTTCAATAAATACGTTAATTTGAGGCTGTGACACTGGAGTAGTAGTTGCAATGCTTCCCCATCATGTAAGAAGCTCAGCCATATAAGAGGTACGAGTAACGAGCAACGTTACTCGTATAGTAATGTTGACACTTATTGTGAAGTGTTCCTTTTATACAGAGGAAGACATGTTTCTTCCCTTGTAGGAAAACTGCCAGGAAGGAGGCCTGAAAAGTATCAAACTGGCAACTGAAGCCACTATGGGTCCCATTCTGTCAAAAGACCAAGATTTGGTCAACTCGGGCTGTGGAAGAGTGAGATAACAGGTAGGGGAGAAACTGACCATTTGCCCATTGACTGAGAAAACTGGTGCAGCTGGATTGTTATCTGAAGGCCAAGGAATGTCTTAGATCATAAAACTATATTGTAAAATACTCTATATTCCCCTGACGCGGCCATCTAATTAAGAGATCTGGTTTCAGCTGAGCAATAAGAGGCGTGATGAGCAAAGTTACTGGAACACAAGTTACTCCCTTCCAGAAGGTTCACAACAACTTGGAAACCGATTGGTAGAAGGGCAGAGAAAAATCTGGAAAGTGGATGCCAAGTATAAAATGGGGAAGAGAGCGCATGGGAGTCACCCTGGTTTCCCTAAGGAGACTCTGCGCCCACCCTTGGCTACCTATTCCCCCCCTCACTGCACTGGATCTAGGCAAGAGTACAGCTAGCCTTTATTTTCTCTGGGACTGTTCTTAATTTGCCTAGCCTCTAATCTTTTCTGCTTCCGTATTAGCTCTACACTTACTATTTTGAGCCTCTGAATTATTTGAAACGGCTGGAATTCTATTTCTCTTTTATTTTTATTTTATTTTTAACATTTCTAATAAAAAGAATAAAAGTTTCTCCACCAGTTTGGTTATTTGGAGAAGAAAGGCTTTGGCTGGTTGGCCATATGGGAGTATTTTGAGCCGTCCTATGTAGTATGGTTGCAAGGCTAGTGCGCAAATCAAAGAGTGCAACCCTGGGGAGTTTTGAAAGTTTCCCTGGAGTACAGAAGAGTTTCTGAACTTCAGGAGTGTTGGGAACGGTTGGTCATGAAGATGTCCTTAACCATCAGCACAGGAGCCTAAATGGATCCATTTGAACTGTGGTGCTGGAGGAGAGCTTTACGGATACCCTGGACGGCTAGAAAGACAAACAAGTGGATCCTAGAGCAAATCAAGCCTGAACTCTCTCTGGAGACAAAAATGAGGAAACTGAGACTGTCCTACTGTGGGCACATCTCATGAGGAGGCAAGGTTCTCTAGAAAAGACAAGGCTGCTGGGACAGGTGGAATACAGCAGGTAAAAATATACATGAGATGGACTGGATCCCCAAAGGAAGCCACCACAAGTTTGCAAAAGTTGAGAATGGGCAATTTTAGTGATTGCTCGTTCATAGGGTTGCCATAAGTTGGAGGGGAGCTGATGGCACATAAGAACAACAGGGAAATTAATAATAGCGGGGCTGAGTGCTTACCTGGACCTTTCTATTCCAGCCAGGAATCCTTGACAAAAAGACACTTCCCCATGAACCACAAGTTTGCCTACTAATTACTCCTGCCTCCCACAGATCTTGAGCAGTAACCAGAAAACAAAAGAGGGCCTCCCAACCATTTTCTGTCAATGGGAGCTTACCCTCTTACTAATCCTCCTAAATTCCACGTCAGCCGTCCTCCTCGGGCTACATCCTCAATAGGTGAAAGGTGTCAAATGATCTGGCAGGGAAGGGACCAGACGGGTTGAAACGCAACCCCCCTATCACGCATCCAGCCATGGTGGGGTTTATAATCAAGAGATGGGGTATTTGTACACAAATACCCCCGCACAGTTGGGCACCATGAAGGTGCTTCTGCTGCTCCCGCAGGCTCCGTGGCTCCCTTCTTATTGCTCTGGAGCTCGCAGTTGGCGAGCTGCTCCCGGCAGAAGACAGGACGACAAGCTTCACTGCCAAGTCAAAGAGTAGCTTGCCTACCAGGCACCCCGGAGCGATGGGAAGGGAGCACAGAGCCCGCAGCAGTGGAAGGGTGAGTGACATAACCCTCATTAGGTCCAGCTGTGTGGGGGGTATTCACATACGAATACAACTACCCCATCTCTATTTATAATCCTCTTCTGGCACCTCCCTGGGTTTGGAGAGGCTAGTTCGGTGACTTTCTGCAATCCTGGCCCTGCAATACTCAAAACATTTGGGATTATAGGAAGCAGGTTCATTACGACTCCACCTAACCCAAGCACTGTCAACAGCCACTGGCAGAAGCTCTCCAGCATTACAGGCAGATTTTCCTGCAGCTCTAACTGGAGATACTGGTGGATTTGTTGTGTATGCGCTGCTATAGGATCGGTATGCAAAACAACTGTTTTACCACTCAGCCACAGACCATCCCACACAAACACACAATCCTACCCCCACTTTTCAGCTCCTTACCTTGTTGCAGAGATAAAGGGGATGCACAGGAGAAAGACAAGGAGGACTTCTGCATACAGGAACGTGGCCACGGCAGCCCACTGGAGACTCATCACGACAGTCTTGGAGGGAGTCTTGCTGCAGAAAAGGCTGAGAATTCACCACTCGATGCAACTTTTTCCTGAAAAGCAAGGGGGGTGGGATTTGAATACAGAATTTGCAATGCAAAATCCAGCACCTTTGGAGCAGCAGCTGAAGATCTCGACTGCAACCTGATTGTCTGTACAGGGAGTACAGAAGGAAGAAACTGAAAATACTAGCGAGAATGACTTGCCTTTCTTCAAAGGGTGGCTCGATTTATATGTTATTATGATTGTTTATCACGACATCTTCATTCTCAAGACTTGGTTAGCAAACTCTTCCATATACCTGGTTCCTTAGCTTCTGCAATACTGGCTACTGTTATCCTAAGTCCAGTGGTTCCCAGCTTTGAGTAACCCAGGTTCTAAGTCCAGTGGTTCCCAGCTTTGAGTGACCCAGGTGTTCATGGACTGGAACTCCCAGAAATCCTGGCCAACACAGCTGGTGGTGAAGGCTTCTGGGAGTTGCAGTCCAAGAACACCTGGTTTACCCAAAGTTCAGAACCATTGTCCTAGAGCATGCTGGGGGCTTTGTGGCTCTCCAGATGTTAGCAAACTGCAACTTCCATCAGCACTTATTAGCACAGGCAATGGCTAGGTATTACTGTATAGGAGCTGCAGTCCAAAAGAGAGAGATAGAGATCTATATCACTACACATTCTCCTTCCTCTTTTAGAAGATGCATTTGTCCTTCCTTTTTCTCACCCGAGTAAGAACAGATGAAGAGTGCTACAGAACTTCAAAGTTTGCATGCTAAACACTCTCAGGCTAAGAGAGGATGGACTTAATCCCTTCAATCTAAATGGTTTCTATGGGCCTGCAAGTGAAAAACCAAAACGGGAAGAGTACCAAATGGCCATTTAGCTCATGATGCCCATACACACACACATCAGCATGAGCTGCAGAAGGAAATGCTTGCAGTGCTACTACTTCCCATTAATGAAACCAAATAAATAAAGCCAATGTCTAAAAACCTTAGTTTCTAGCAAACCTACTACAGAAGTGTTTTGCTGCTGACCTCCCACAGACTGGTCACAATATTTACAGTGGCGCCCTGCATAGCGACGTTAATCCGTTCCAGGATTAAAGTTGCTATCTGGAATCTTCGCTAAACGGAAAGAAAAACCCCATAGGAACGCATTAAACTCCGTTTATGGAGTTTATGGGGGGAAAACTCACAGTTGAACGAAGATCCTCCATAGCGCCGCCATTTTCACCCCCTCGGTAAGCGAGGGCAGCATGCGAAAATGCTGCGGGTGGCCATTTTGTGCACCCGGTGGCCATTTTGAAACCGCCAATCAGCTGTTTAAAAAAACATTGCAATGCAAAGATCGGTAAGTGAAACACTTACCAATCATCGCAAGGCGATTTTCTGTCATTTTGATCATCGCAATGCGATCACATTAGCGATTGCAAAAAGCGTGTCGCTATGCGAATTCGTCGTTAAACGGTGCGCTCATTATGCGAGGCACCACTGTACAACGTGCTTGCACTAGTTGGGCATGTGGTCTCAGCCAGCATAACTCATCTTATACTGATAAGCCAAGATCTGTGAGATTTTACTGGGGCCCCAGGCCCCGCCATCAACATAATGTACTGTGAATCTGTGGGAGACCCTAATGCTCCCAATCAAAAGGGCAAAACAGGAGCAGGGGAACCTTTCCCAGCCTCAACAGAACAAATAAGGACGAATTTCATGGAAGTATCCAAATCAATATTTAAACTCCCAACCTAATTAATCAACAGATTACCATGCAGGTCAAGTCTCGAAGTTCTACAGTAGAAACTAGTTTCAAAGGTGCTGGCACTCGTCCTCAAGAACACAGACACCTAATCCTCTGTGAAACTGATGCTGGCTTCTCTGCAGCCCAAATCACCAGGTGATAATCGACAGCCCAAAGTGGAAAAGGAGTTAGCATCCTCAAGCTGGATAACCCTAAGAGGCACTCGATTTCATTTGGGTTGGTTGTTCCTTTCCTTTTTCAACCCTTTCAAGGGAATAGGGCAAATAATTCAGGGTAAGAGCAGACTTTAATTGCTATCACTGCTCTCCTGTTGCAATGAAACAAGCTTGCAAATACTGAAAGTGCAGCTTCAGTGTAAAAAGACTCTGAAAGGTTCTTTAGAACCTAAATCCCTAAGTTTAGGGGAGAAGGGGAGGGTTCCTTGACAGAACAAAGAGAGTCCGTATCATGTCACTGATCAAAGGTTTGGACTGGGATTTGGGAAATCCGGGATCAAATCCCCAGTCAGCTACAGAGCATACGCTGGGCCATGGAATAGCCAGAAATCCCCCCTATATTTCTCCAACAGTAAAATCTGCAGATCAAGAACAGGCCGCCTTTCACAATCCAGATGCTAATCAATTACTCCTCCTATTATATCTCACCATTCACCAGGCTGGCTCAGGCCCATGCAAATCAGAGATCCACAGAATCCCTGGCCCTTTTGCAAAACAAGTCTTTTCTCAGGCACTGCCCCACCCAGCGAACGCCAACATTCTCTAAGAAAACAACGATAATCAATCAGAGGCTGTAGTATCCTGTCCATCTTGCATGGAATAGATGTATTTCTTTCACCCATATGTTGGTTTGTAACGAAGTGATGCAGTTTCATGCTGATGTTACCTTAGTCAACTGTTTCATGCTTCTGTTATTCTCTTTGCAAAACAGCCTGCCCTCAAAATAAATGAGGAATGAGCTGTCTTTGCAGCCACGAGGGAGATCATAAAACTGGCACATGAGCACCACCGATGTGTTGCAACAGTTCTGCAACATTCCTTACTCACACACGTCATTTAAAAAAAAAAAGTAATCAGGGTCTTCGGACATTTGCAACAAGCTGAGAGGCACCCCTGTCTGCCTTGCACACCCTGCTTTCTAAGAAAACACTAGAAAAATTCAAGGAGTTTCAGCATCTTGCACCACTAATTTCTGAAAAGAAAAGCCATTAGATAAAAGCCATGGGCAATAGGTGAAAAGAAAAAAAAATCTGTCATGCTTCGAGCATAACTATTGCAGCACAGAATCAATGTAGTGTAATGGAAACCCATATCCAAATTTTCATCCAGATATGAAATTGACCAACTGAGCACAGGCTAGTCATTTGTTTCTCAGCCTAAGGTGCTTCCCATGTTCACTGCAAAGCTAAAATTGGGGGAAAGAAGGGGAGAGAAAACTACTCATACTGCCTGGAATACCACTATAATACAGCGGTGCCTCGACTTACATCCCAACATACAACCATTTCAAGTTGCGACCAGCTTGGGCCGCAAAATTTTGCTTCGACTTGCGGCCAGAGTTTGGAGTTGCAAACAAAAGAGGCAGGGGGGAAAAGGTGGGGAATTCAAATTATAGGGATAATCATTGGTCGGGAAGAGCTTCTTTGTAGCTCTTTCGCACCATAGGTTAGTGTGAGCAGGTTTGCAGAGGCTTCCGACTGCCTGGTGCTGCTTTCTGCTTCTGGGTGAGTATATTTACAGGGTTTTGTAAGGTGGGTTTGGGAGGGGTTATGTTTCTGTGCTGTGATTTATTTATATTTTTTTGGTGTGCATGTTTTCCCAGCCCCATCATGTTCCAATGGAGCTGGCTGGTGTGTGTGTGTGTGTGTTTGATTTTTTTCCCCAGCCCCATCACCTTCCGATGGGGCTTGGAGCGTTTTTTGGGGGGGGATTTTTGGTGATTTTTTTCCCCACCGGAACGGATTAATGGGGTTTCCATGCATTCCTATGGGAAATGGCGCTTCAACTTATGACCATTTCAAGTTACCACCATCTTCTGGAACGGATTATGGTCGTTAAGTCGAGGCACCACTGTAAAGCAAATAAGGGAACCCATCTAATGCAGATATTACCAACCTAACTTTTTTTTAAGCACTATGAATGTTCAAGTCTTTTCCTCACAAGAGTTCTGCAGCCTTCAAAAATTTGCTTCTGGGGTGTTAAAAATCATCCAAAGGATTGATCCAAGTGGTTATGCATTTTATCCATCCTGGGCTGCAACCCCCAGCATTTTCCAGGTGTTCTGTGGATGACAGAAACTGTAATCCAACACACCCAGATAAACACAGCTGCAGATGGAAGGCTTTACAGAAACAACCTGGAATTCTCATGGGCCGAGCAGAACTCCGGAACACTGCAGAACATGTTCATACACGTTCTCTCTCACGCACACACACACACACGCCCATATCCAGCTGTGCACGCAAGGGAAGTCCACAAGATGTTAACGACTCTTTTCTCTTCCCTCCCCCCACCAGCAAAATATGCATACCTGCCATGCCAAAGCGCTTAACAGGAAAGCTCAAATAATAAGGAGGGAGTATTGAGAGGAAACTGGGTGAAATACACCCGAGCCAGAGAGGTGCGCACATGTAATTAATTGCACGCAATTAAGTTTCGCTTATAAAATGGCATAAGGATCAAAAGCTAGGGAAACTGGGGTTCTGAAGCCAGGGCGCACCGCCCTGCACCCCGCCTTTCAACCTAGATATACTGTATATCCCTCATCACCACCACCCCCCGGGCAAGCAAGAAAAGTGCTGATCATCAAACCGATGGGTCAGGATGCCACCAAGGAAAAAAGGAGAAAGTCCATGGCCCTTGGTTCCTTACCAGGATTATTTGGGGCCCCGTGCTTCTTTTCACGGAAGGGTTCCCACGTTATCGAGCCTCGCAGGCTCCCTCCCCCCCCGCCCCATCCCCGCAGAGGCAAAACCGAGAGGAACACCCACACCTACCAAACTTGCTCCCAGCCAAGCAAGCACCGCCGTCTCACCCACGAGCGGAAATCAAGGAAGAAGAGAAGACGCCCCCTCCCTTCAGTGGGTGGGATATTTGTTCCCCTGGCTGGCCCGCTCACCCAATCGCAAGAGCCATTTCCAAGCCAAGGCGGGAAAAAGCACCAGACAGACAGGCGGAAGTGGCTCCGTCATCGCTACGGCCGTGGCTGTGTCGCTTGTATTTCTAATATGGGGAATAAGGGGGGGGGAGGCGGTGGCGGCAGTGACTTCGCAGGAAGCGCCGCCATGAGAAGAGATGTTGAGGGGGGAGCAGAGTGGGTCACTCGTAGCTGGGCAAGAAAAGTTTCTAACTCTTTCTAACTGGACTTGAATACATAAAGTCTTTCATTAAGGTCTTCAATGGACCTTTCATTAAGGTCTTCATGTTATATGGTATGAATACCATGTCATAGACATATTATTTCTCATTGTAAAAGAGCATATTCCACATTCCATTTTTTCCCCAAATTTTTCCGGAAAACGAAAAACGGATTTGGGGAAAAAACGCTATTCCCCCCCCCCAAATTTTTCTACAGTTTTTCCGGAAAATGAAAAACGGATTGGGGGGGGGAATAGTTTTTCTAGGGCTTTTTCCCCAGCCTTTCCTGTCTCTAAACTGAACTTGTACACACACTTCCGAAGTTCTCATTTAATAGGGAATTTCTGTTTCAGCCTGTTGTTGCAGCAATATTCTGTAAACGTCTCACTGGGATTAAATCCTGTTGAACTCGGTATATAGCATAGTGTTGGAACATGTCTGCAGTGTTAAACACAACCTCCTAGAATGCTTCTTCGCAATTAAGACCCTTGGGGTCAGTGGGATTTATTGTTGCCAGGTCAATTGCACTTGAAGGTTTGCAGCCTGAATAGGGAACGGCTGCAACTGAGCTGCATAAATCTTTTTAAGGGCATCCGTGTAAGTCAGAGAGGGTCACATGTCTTGGCTTTACCAGGACAATAAGGAACTGGGAATTAATAGCCCAACTTTAGCATTGTTATCCAAGCTCACACTATGTGTATCCAAATATTGTCTACTGTTCCCAACTGGCACGTCTTTCTGATATTTTATATCATAGTCCTTTCCCATAACATGGCCGCTGTCTACTTGTTGGAAAAGCTAGGGATGGATACTGCTTCTCTGGGGACTTACTGTATACCAGGGGTCTCAAACATGCGGCCCGGGGGCCATTTGCTGTCCCCCAGATGATAGTTTGTGGCCCTCGCCTTGCCTGCCCCCCCAAAGCACCCACACATCCTCTGCTGTCAAGAGTAAAAAAAAGCCTTGCCTCGCTCGCCAGCTCTCTCCCAAGACAGCACCTCTTGCACCCTCCATCCAGAACTGTAGCCTGCCAGCCAGCCCACCTGTCTATCAGCTAAGGAAACTCCTGGGCGGCTTCCTCAGGCTCTTGCTTCACTTGGCGGAAAATCTGATGCGGCCCAGCCTCACCCAGACTCTGTCTCTAGCGGCCCCCAGGTAAATTGAGTTTAAAACCCCTGCTGTATACAAAGCAGCTGCTGTAGTAACGAAGCATTACTGTAGGTGGGCAGTTTTCAAGTGAAAGGATTGACAAAACTGTACTACTTGTAAAACAGGTGACGTTAGTGTTAGAATAAAAAACCTGTGTCCGTGGAACATGTTTCATGGACTGTTTTTAATGTATGTATCACACTAGATTACATTAGCAGCACGATACACTGACACCATAGATCACATTACAGTGTTGTTGTAAAATACAGTAGTCTCATCTTGAATACACCCACCCAACTGTGCTGCATGTGGATATTAACAGTAAATGATATTAGAAGATTTTTCTGACGTTTCCCCTGCCTCAGTTTCCTCCGTAAACCAATGTGGAGATAATATGTCTGACCTATACTGCACTGTGAGGTTGAAATTCATACACACATGCCTGGGATTTGTTCTCCAGGCTGGCCCACTAACCCAATCGCAAGAGTCCTTTCCAAACCAAGGTAGGGGAAAAGCAGGAGACAGACAGGCGGAACCACAGAAGCCTCTGTGCTGCAAGCTCAGAAGACTTCACAGTGAGCTCCCGTCGCTTGTCCCAGCTCCCGCCAACCTAGCAGTTCAAAAGCATGCAAAAATGGGAGTAGATAAATAGGTACCAGTACTTTGGCCATCTCATGAGAAGAGAAGACTCTTTGGAAAAGACCTAGATGTTAGGAAAGTGTGACGGCAAGAGGAGAAGGGGACGACCGAGGATGAGATGGCTGGACAGTGTCTGCGAAGCAACCAACATGAAATTGACACAACTACGGGAAGCAGTGGAAGACAGGAGGGCCCAGCGTGCTCTGGTCCATGGGGTCACGAAGAGTCGGACACGACTAAACGACTAAACAAACGAAAAATAGGTACCACCTTGGTGGGAAGTTTACGTGTCTAGTCGCACTGGCCCTGTGACCACCGAAACCACAGGCTCTGTGGCTTGGAAACAGGGATGAGCACTGTGCCCTAGAGTCAGACATGGCTGGACTAAATGTCAAGGGGAACCTTTACCTTTACATAGACATGTATAAGATTGCAGTATAAAATGTGTTGTTTATCCCCTCCCCCAATCCATGTATCTTGAGATGCAAGGGTGCATTTTTTGTTTGTTTCTTTGTAATTCAAAAAGGACACTTTTTTCCTTCATGACGTGTAAAAAGCATTAACTTCTGCTTTTGCTTCCACTTTTTTGCTGGCGAAGACATGAAGTTGATAAGCTGCAAATACACTAAAGCTGGATGTGGTGGTGGTTCTCCACAATCTCCTTTGAGCAGGAGTAATTTCGCCCTTCTTAAAAGAGGAAGAGAAAAAAAGGAAACAAATATAGAAAGGCGAGAATATAAAACAAAAAAACAAAGGAGTTCAAAAGTAAGTGCGAAGCTTCTTCTCAAAACAAAGAACAATGAGGCAAAGAATGCGGAGAAATACGTTAGAGTATAGCAGAGATTTGGATGTGGAATTACTTTCCACTCCATACTATTCTGCGGGACCGTATATAATAGGTAGTGTTCAAAGTAGAACAAGAAATAAACTAAGGCGAACACATTAATGCATCACTCTTTTTTACTATCTCTATGGTGCGTTGGATTCGCACGGAGAAAACTCTCCGGAAGTGATGTCAGTACTATCGGGTCGGGAGGGAGGAAGGCCTATAGTTCCCTTGCAGATTTATCAAGAGATTATTGTACGCCAGTTATTCTGTATGTTGGGTAGGAAAAAAAATCATTGTAAATATTATCGAAATTGTCAGTATTAAGAAGCTACCACAGGTTTTAGATAATTGCCTATGGAATAACAACCAAGGGTGTTTTAAACTTAATTCCGGAAGTTAGAACCAGTCGTGCATCTCTCGTACTTCTAATCTCTATGAAAAATGCCATGCCGGCGCTGTGGATTACCACGCGATAGAATATGATGGGCTGTAGCTTTTATGATTCTCGAACGAGATTTCAGGTTCCCGTGTGCAGCTGACCGAGTCGCCTCCGAAAAGACCAAGAAAACTACAAATTAATTCACGCCCCCTCCCGAATTATTCCCTTTTCCTTCTGAAAGCCCTCCAAACCCACGTCTTAACAGTCCAAAGCGAGGGCCATTTTCAGGGAGAAAGCGGCGTTAAAAGTGTTTTCAAGATGTGTAACAAAAAATATTTTTGGTTAATATTTTTGAATATTAACAAAATATTGTTAATACAGTATTTGGGAGCCTGAAAGATTACCAGATCACATGTTAGCAAAAGAAAAGGGAGTGGGACAGGAAGAAGGAGACAATATTTTAAAACAGTGGTCCCCAACCTGGGGTCCCCAGATGTTCTTGGACTACAGCTCCTAGAAATCCTGCCCCAGCACAGCTAGTGGTGAAGGCTTCTGGGGGTTTTAATCCAAGAACATCTGGGGACCCAAGGTTGGGTTTCAAAGGGCTCTCGTCTTCTGAGGACCATCTCTCTCTACTTTCCAGAGTGTTTGCCTCCACAGAGTAGGAAATAGGAAATCATTTTGGAGTGCTCTCTGCCTAGGAAACCCTTGACCCTTGTTCTACTACTGGTTTCATAGCAGTCAGACACTTTCCATGCTCTTGAAGATGAGCTGCCTGTCCCCAGCACTCTTTCTGGCTCGGGATACAACACCTCCCTTGGTCTCCTTTGTATAAACATGAAAGAGGAAACTGCCACTAGTTCTTAAAATAGCGATATAGCTTGCTTGCACGCATTACCTTCAATGCCTCCGTTCTCCAGTCAGAACAGCTACTTGGATTCAGAAGCTACAGTGGCAGCAGGAGACTACACAGTGCCCAAAGGGTGGCAGAATGACCATCAGTGGCATAAGGGCTGACATCTTGTTGCTTAGCACACTAGAGTAGGCCCATCAAATCAGTGAGGATTTGATAAGTCAACTCCTCTATAAGTTCCATTGATTCAAATAGGCCAACTCTAGTTCTGACCTATGCTGAGTAGGCCCATTTTAACCAATAGAATTTGTGGAGGAATTTATTCACCAAGCAGCTTTGAGTCATTAGGTGCAACTACTCTGGTGCAACTGAGGATGTGAAGGTACATGATTTCATCCAGTGCCAGTCAGGTGTACATGCTCTGAGATTAATGCTTATTAAATCTTGCTGTGATCAGGTCTACTTGAGAAACATGTTATAAATACAGTATAGTAAATACCTTTGGTTTTAATAGGAGGGAGCTTGACATAACAGCCTGCCTCACATAAAAATGTGCTATAAAATAGGGTGTAATGTGATCCTTACTGTTTTGAGGAACCAGAAATGAACATCTGGCACTTGGGATGCAAATGATGTGAACTGAACTATCCCTGGGCTTAACTGCAAATATTGGAATAGTAGGAGGGTTTCACAGGCAATTTGATGAAGCTAGTGAGGCCACTTCAGAATAGTGGGGCTGGTATATAGGTTCAGAGGATTATAGCTTATTCCTATGAAAGTGGCCTTTAGCACCTTCAGATCAAGAAAGTACAGCTATGAGTAAAACCAGATAAACCAGTGATAAGAATCAGGCCAGAGTCTAATTTTAATCTCTGTAACACTAGTTCTGTACACACTCATTTATTATAATGACCCTTAATTAGGTTTTTTTACTGCCTATTTCTTGTAGATCTGTTTCACTAAAAATGGACAACCATTTCCTTACCCTGAATTGAATGCCAGGACAGCACATACATATCCAGGGTATAGGCTGCTTGTGGGCCACAGGAGTAGCAAAACTGTCTCAAGCAAACACCCAACAAGTATTTATCTGTATCTCTTTCACCCACCAGTTGGGTCACAATTGCAGCCTGAAAAATGTATCAGGAAATCCACACAGTCCTCACCTTTGTAGAAAATGGAGGGCCTTACTATGATTCAGAAAAGCAATTCCACCCACTCTTTAATTTACAGTGCACGCACGCTCACCAAATAAATATATATATAAAAACCAAAACACACAAACAACTCTCTCGGTGTCAATCAAGAGGTAAAATTACGGTCCTCAGGATGCTAGTCATTCTGCTGCTCAGCGTCCAGCTATTAAGAAAGCCATGATTTTGACACCCAGTTCCAGGAATGATTATAATGGGTGTGCCAGTTCCAGCCAAACAAAGCATTATTTCTTTAAAAAGGAATTTAGCCTCCAGCTTTAAAACAAACTCCTGTACATATTTACTAGTTCATAGGAAGTTCCATTCCCGTCCCTAAGACTTAACCTTGGCGTTAGGGTCCCCAGCATAAGGTGATGAAGGAAAAAAAAAAACCCGGCGCACTCGAAAGAAGGCTGAACAACATTCCCGTGGTCAACTCTATCTTTTTTTTTGTCTTATGTGCTCTTTTAAAGTCTTATCGTGAGCCATCTAGCGGTCACCCCGGGGAACGACCTGGTTCCCCCCCCCCGCTCCGTCCTCTCTATGATGGCCTGAGGCTTTTCTCTATGATTGAGAAGGGATGGGCATTCCTCAGTCTCCTCCTATCCTGTCAGTTTAAGGGCTGGGCGTTGTGGGATAAGCGCGGACTCGGTGGCGAGTCAGTGCTGCCAGCAGCCAGGCGGAGGTGGAGGTGGTGGTGGTGGTGGTGGTGGTGGTGATACTGGAGCTGGAAGAGGCAAAGGAAGAAGAAAGAGAAGGACAGGGGGAAAGTAGGAAGAGAGGGGCAGTGCCCCCCCTCCCCGCCCTGGGGGCATCATGCCAACTGCCACAGCAAAAGTGGCAACACGGTTGGCCCAGGGGGTCACGGCCAAAAGGGCAGCCGTGGCATTGCTGGTGGCAGCGTATGGCGCCAAGAAGCTGTACCCCATCTTGCGGCGGCAGTGGGCGAGCTCAGACCTCCAGGTCAACTCTAACCCAACGAGACCCCCTCACCCTGGTGAGCCGTCGACCAAATGGGGGGCCCTAGAAGAGGCGGCCGCATCCCAGCCTGGGGTCAACAAGGTGTTCTTCCTTCGCCTCTTGCGCCTCCTGCGGCTGCTGTTCCCTGGGCTGCTGTGCCAGGAGACGGGACTCCTGGCCTTGCACTCAGCCGCCCTCGCCAGCCGCACCTTCCTCTCCGTCTATGTGGCCCAGCTCGATGGGCGCTTGGCCCGCTGCATCGTCCGCAAGAACCCACGAGACTTTGCATGGCAGCTTTTCAAGTGGCTGCTCATCGCCCTCCCAGCCACCTTTGTCAACAGTGCCATTCGTTACCTGGAGGGGCAGCTGAGCCTGGCCTTCCGTGGGCGGTTAGTGGACCATGCCTATCAGCTGTACTTTGAGGGCCAGACTTATTACCGGGTCAGCAACATGGACGGACGCCTGCGCAACCCAGACCAGTCTCTCACGGAAGATCTGGTGGCCTTTGCAAGCTCTGTGGCCCACCTTTATTCGAACCTGACCAAGCCCGTGCTTGATCTCATTGTGACTTCCTATACCCTTGTCAGTTCAGCCAGATCCAAAGGGGCTGACACAGCCTGGCCCTCAGTAATCGCCGGGCTAGCGGTCGGCATCACTGCCAAGGTGTTGCGTGCCTGTTCGCCAAAGTTTGGACAGCTGGTGGCCGAGGAAGCCCGCCGGAAAGGAGAGCTGCGGTACATGCATTCCCGAGTGGTGGCCAACTCTGAAGAGATTGCCTTCTATGGAGGTCACAAGGTAAACTGAGCGGTGCGGGATACCAAGGTGTTTGAGGACAAAGGTAGGGTTGTCATTGGTGGGTTGCCAGGATGACTTCGGGGCTTCGAAGTACAGAGCTATAGTGTGGATGTGGAACTATCGGGGAAATCAAGAAGGATGTTTGTGTTTTTTTACTCTCCGCTCTCCCTTTGTCTTGCCAGTTCCTCTCTATTTTTTTTTTTTAATAACTAAATTATGACAATGGGGGCCACTGGTCTTTACTAAGAGTCGCCAGGTTGAATTGAAACTGATTCCAAAGAAGTTACATGAGCCGGTACCTTTGTTTACTCCTTGTTGCTTTGTAGTCCTTTTCCTTGAATCTGCCCTGCGCAAAGGAGCGGCCTTGACCTGTATTTACCCAGCTTGGAATCTCTAATTGTTTAGTAACTAGCTCCCACTCTGGCAGCAGCTTCCTGATTTCTTGTTGAAACCCTCTTTGGTTTCTGTTGCTCATGCCTGACTTCTGCCTGAACCGTCAAAACAGCCCCAGGCCCTTCCAAGTTTGGCACTGGGGTAGCACTTAAAGGTTCCTCCTGCATTCCTTTGACAGCTGAGGGTTTTGAAGGGCAGCGGGTGTGCTTTTATATGTGTGTATATGTGTACAGTTACATGTATTCATATCTTGGCCATTCAGACCCCCAGCTCTGGAAAGGCAGTGGGATCTAGCAATAGATTCACACTTCAGGATGCCTGAGTTCTTTCTGTGTCTGCTTCAGAGGGTGGCAGAGGAGAAGGAAGGGAGGCTGTTTGTACTGAAAGGGGTGTCTGATGTATGGCCAGTCATTTCTGCTACACATGTCATGGTCCTCTTCCCTTTGTTCCAATCTAGCTGCGTCAATTGCATTTCAAGGCCTATCTCCCCACTTCTGGCAATTGGCCAGAATTAAGAGTAATGTTAGGTCACATTCAAACTTGTACCTCCTTCCTCGCCTCTTCCTCCTCTCTCTCTCTTTCTGTGCTCTCAGCCTCTTCCTAGAAGCAAAACACACAGACAAAAGGGCAGCACACACAGACACACATTACAAAAAATGTTTAGTGGAAAAGTTGCTCTTCAGAAAGAAGCTAGATAACGTCCCATGACTGGTATTAGTCATGACAATATTTGTCTATATAGCAGCAGGCTGCGTTCTGTTCAGAGCCTGGGGGGAAAAATACTTTTTTAGACTACAATGCCAGAGTCTCTCAACCACCATGGCCCATATATATACAGTATTAAAAAAGGAACTTTCCTAAGTTCTGATTTTGTTATCAGTTCTGATATTTAGTTCTGATACCTTAATTTTATTTCTTTTATCTTAATTTTAGTTTTTAATGATGTTAATGATAGCAATCACAGTTTTAATAGTTTTAATTTTAGTTCTTCTTTCATTGTAGCTCTTATATCTTAATTTCCAGAGGGATCTTTGTGTGCATATGCAACGTATTGATTTGTCCCCCTCACTCCAGCCTCCCCTTTGGTTGGCCTTCAGCTTAAGAGAGGGGGGGGTCCCTTTCCAGTCTTGCACAGTAGATTGGGGAGATGGAGATGCACTAGGTAAAAATGTGGACAAGAATGCTTGTTGTGCTTACATGGACACCACCCAGATGATATAATGCCCCCTCCCCTGTTCCTGCTTCTCTTTCATCTATCAGTTGCCCTAACAGCTGTGCTTAGTGAGGAAGGAGAAATGCTGTTCCGGCTGCACCAGGAGTCTTTGGCCTAACTCTCTCTCAATCTACAGTGTGACCTTAGAACAGGGTTACACAACCAAGCCAGCCCAGTCCCAGTGGAGCCTCACTGCCATTTAACACAGTTAGTGAATCAATGGTCTATGTGAGGCCAGCAGGGCTTGTAGTATGGAGGTGGGGGAACAGAGCCACTTCCTGATCTCACAGACAAAGCAGTTGGAACAGTGCTAGAAAGCGTGGCAAAACAACCTGAACTTCTAGCATTAAATTCAAAGCTGACTTTGGTCGTCATTGGATGTGATGCAAATAACAGTGTGGCTTCATCCCCGAGCCAGCATAGTGAAAGGCTCATTTGCATGACATTAGTAATTGGTTTGGTTTCATAGCAGACGTATCCGTTAGGGCTGCCTCAGAAATGGAGGCTCCTTAGGTTCAGTTCAGTTTGTCAGCAACAAGTTCAGCTGTAGCACTTTTTCATTCTTAGTTCTGGACTAGACATAGCAGAAAGTGGAGAAGTTGCCCTTCTAGCTGAATCCTTGATGATTCCAGCAGGAGGGAAGATGATACCCAGGTACCTGGCTTCTATTAGGGATGATGTGAAAGGGAGTAAAAAACAAAGTGTGCAGCTTGTATACTGCCCCATAGTATTTAAGCACTCTCTGGGCCATTCACAATTTAATTATCCAGGCTACACATTGCCTCCCACCCCCCCATGAGCTAAATACTCAACGTACCAACCTGAGAAGGATGGACGGCTGAATCAACCTCCAGCTGGCTACTAGAGCCCAGAGGCTTCACTGCATGGCTGAACTTTAATGACTGCAGCAAGAGGCTCCTAACACAGCCTTCAGCAACTCATGGCCCTTCAGATCTAGTGAATTGCCATGCCCATCATCCCCAGCCAGCTGAAAGATGAGGGGAGCTATGACTCACATCTGGAGGGCACTGAGTTGGGGAAGGCAGGATTAAATTCTCTTAGCTATATTCTGAATCTAAAACTAATCCCCATTGTACACTTACTTCTGAGAAGATACCCATCAGATTGTACTACAAGGGTCACGGTCCTCAGTTTCTAACCACAGGGAAGCAAGTCCCACTGAGATTCCAAGAATTTACACAGATTACTGTGTTAGAGCAACAGAAGTGCAGATTTCTTCTCTGCTTAGTTTTCTCGAAAACACCCCTCCCTTTGTTTTGATAGCCTTTTCTCTCTCTTGACTGCCTTTCTAGCTCTGAATGGGAGCAGAATGCTCTTAAATCCAATTCACATATTCAGGGATATTACAACATCATGTGATGACCAGCAACAGGCCCATGTATGTTTTCACAAGCCCCTGCTCTTCTGCTGCTACTAATTAGCTCCATTAATAGAAATCAATAAGTGAAGCGTTTATTGGCATCTATCAAAACGTTGTTGTCTAAAGACCAAGCTGCTGCTGCTAAAGGCCGGAATGAGCAGAGTTGATTCCAGAGTTGGGGGCGCCCGCCTTTTCCAGCTTTTGAGCACAACAGAGGATCCTGCTTCTGATGCAAGAGAACTATAGTGGTCCTTTCATACAGCAGGATTGTGTGAAGGAGACCACAAGGCCACAAAGAGAGTTAACAATAAGGACTGATGAAACAGGCCACCCCTTTTTTCCTTTTTGAAAGAAGGAAAAAAAAAAGACACCAGCCTTGCTGCTATGCTTTTGAGACCAGGCTGCTTTTTACATCAAATTAAGCAAGTGGAGTGGAGCTAAAGCGACGAGCCAATCTCTGTTTGAGGCATTCCCTCCTTGGAGGTCTTGGGGCAAGCACAGTGGCCATGGAAGATGGGTGCCCGAGAACTGCTGGACCCAGCTCCCAGAAACCCCAGCCGGCATGGCCGGTGGTGGGAAGGGTCTGTAGAAGCTGTGGTTGAAAACATCTGGAGGGCCAAAGGTTCCCTGCCTTGCTCTCCAACCAGGCATCCTCTAAATGTCTTGGATTACAAGCCCTAGCATTCTTGGGCACCTGCTAGCAATTGAATTATGAAACATTTCCAGGATGAGGAAGGTTGTCCTGTTAACAGTGAAGTTGGGGAGGGAGAAATGAATGCTTCCAATCCTAAGCGTTCATCCTCTAAATGTTGAGGTGTGGCAAGCCTATGCCACAGTTCACAAGCTGCCTCTGTGTCCATTCTCTAAACATGCCATGAGTCCCAGCAGTTCTAGAACTCTCTCTCTCTCTCTCTCTCTCTCATGTTTCCCCCCTCCGCCCCCCACTGCCCCTTCCAGGTGGAGCTGTCCCTTCTACGGCGCTGCTACCAGGATCTGGCCTCCCAGATCAATGTGTTGCTCCTCGAGAGGCTCTGGTATGTCATGCTGGAACAGTTCCTCATGAAGTACGTGTGGAGCGCTGCTGGGCTGGTCATGGTGGCTGTGCCAATTATCACGGCCACAGGCTACTCTGAGACAGGTAAGGAGACCCACTCTTGTAATTCGGATGGAGCAAATGGGAGACACGTCCCCTAGAACAAAACAGAGGCGGGGGAAAGTAGCTTTGTGACACCCTGAGGCTTAATAAATGTGTGCCAACTTTACCTTACTAGTTTATAAGGAACTATGAGATTCCTTCTGTTTTTTTGCTTGAATAGACTAACATGGCTTCCTGTCCACTACAAAAACAGGCACAAAATGGTTATCAAAGATCATGCATGAACCTACATGAATATTTGTACTACTTCTATGAAACTGCTTGATTTTGTGTGTGGACTTTGAAACAATTACAGTGAATCGTTTTTAAAAAGGGGAGGAGGAGTTCATATCTTGATAGTTAGTGAAATAGCATGTCAAAGTTCTGTCAGTGTGGAATTGTTAAGGATGTTATCAGGTTAACAATTCAAAGTGCCGGCTGTCACCTTGCTCAGAGGCTTAGCCGGGGCAAACGGGCCAGGCAGAGTGGAACTCTGACACCTCCTCTTCAGACCTGCATCTGCAAGTCCTGACAAACTTTCATGCACGGAAGGTGCTATAGTGTGGAAGGAGAAAAGTGGAATGAAGTCACATAGCACCAGCCACTGCCAGTTTGTTTACTGTTGAACGCCTTTGAGGAGGAGCACTCTCTCTGAACAACAGGATTGCTGGTATTTTTGAAGTAGAAGGGAACATTTGTTAGAAACCAGGGTCGAAACCTGTGTCGTCATCGAACACGTCCAAAGCAACAGGATGAGGGCACTATTTGAAGGCGAGTGGGTTCGAATTCTTAACCCTCCCGTTATTTTTCTTTGGCGCCTCTCTCACCCCAACCACTCTTCCAAAGTACACGCTGGATGCGCAGCCAAAGCACCAGATGGATAGTTAGAGGAGGAAAAGGGGGTTAAGGGGATTACAAGGGGAAAGCAGGGGGTGGGACAAGGGTTAAGTCCCCCAGCGGCCCATCTGCTGCTGCTGCTGCTTCGCCTCTTCTTGAGGCTGCAGTTTAGAGAAGGGCAAGGCTAGACTTGGGTCTTTGCCAAGGTCTGCTCTTAGCCAAGAGGGTTTAAGGTCAGCCGTAACTGAGAGGAGGCAGGGTCCCTGCGTGTGCCTCAGACTATATACTTGCCTTGGCCAAGGAAACGACGAGTACATCTTGGAGTCCTTTTAGAGAAAGGCTGGCCCTGGGAAGAGGCCAGGAGGACCAGGGGACTGGCCTTCTTGCTTGAGGCAGAGGCCACCTTGTGCTGACTTTCTAGAGCTCTGTCTGCTGCCCTTACAAATGGTGGACCCGAGTTGCAGCAGGCTGTTCTAGTATTTCCCTTTTTATCCCCCCGCTCCCTGCCCCTTTCCACCGTGGGTTTCTGAGCGCTCTCCACCCTTGTTCCTTTCTCCTTTTTCTGAAGCTCTGAGGACGGTCTTAGTTGCTCCAATCTCTGCAACATGCCTGGCTAATGAGGTAACTAGAGATCGAGGGAGCAACCCCAAGCCCCACAGGCACTTCTCGCCCGGCCTCTGCTGTTGACGTTGTTGCTAAGAAATGCTGGCACCTTGTTGTTTTTTTATCATCTCTTGGGGCCAAACTATCCATTGTTGATAATAACCCATCAGAGCTGAAATCAGGTTAGCATTTCAGACACAGAAATCAGACTTGTCAGCACAGCTGTATTTTTTTTAAAAAAGACAAGTCAATTTGCAAACCAGTCAGGTGAAGTGAAAAAAGCTCTTCCTAGGACACTCAAATGCTTTCAGGAGCAAAGGAATATCACCTTCTAAGGATGAATTTTCTCCAATGTATAGTTTGGCCAGTAGCCTCTTGCTGCATTAAGCAAGGACACAGGCACAGAGCTGTTTAAATTCTCTTCTTCTTTCCAACTGGTCCTCCTTCCTCTCCATCTTATAAGAAGAGCAGCAAGGCAGTCTCAGAGTTTGTCCCTTATATATATATCAGATGTGTAGGGGAAGAGTTTTGAGGGAGATACAAGTGATAATTGCACGGGTCCTTTGCTGGGGAATTCAAGCATCCTCTGCTGGGGTTTCAGAGCACATAACTCCCCATGTGTTTCAGAGGAGAGGTTCTGCCAATCCCTGTGGAAGATGCCGGGTGGAACAGGTTTCAGAAGCCTTTGCTCATGTTAGGGTTCTTCATGCAGGGATTACTCCCTAGGCTGAGTCAATCTTCCTCGTTGTGCACCATGACTCCTGTTAAACACCGATAGCTGCCCAGTTTTTGCTTTCACAGCAAAAACTGGAGCCTAAAAACAAATCACATTAGCAGAGTTTTGCTCCGGCTGTGCCACCCTGTCCCAGAAGCATTCCCATCTGTTATTATAAAAGGAGGCTGCACTCAATACCAGGGAGAGGGGATGTGTGGCCATCCAGATGACACTGGCCAGCGATTTCCCTCCGGCCTACCCAGCATAGCCAAAGGTGGGGAATCACAGGAGCTGCCGTCTAACAGCAGTGAAAGGCAATAGGCTCCCTAGCCCCAATCTGTGTCAAGACAGGCTCTCACACATCCAGGCATTGGGAGGCAGGGATTCCTGGCAGATCCCACCCCAAAAAGAGAGGTAGAGCTACGCTACCAGGAGTAAAGAGAGAGAGAGGTTGCTCCCAGAGAGTTGTGTACCCTAATCTGTCTTCTTCCCTCCCACAACCTTGTCTCTTGCCAGACTCGGAGGCAGTGAAGCAAGCTGCTTTGGAAATGGAGGAGCAGGAGCTGGTGAGCTTAAGGACAGAAGCCTTCACCACCGCCCGGAATCTGCTGATGGCAGCAGCGGATGCAACCGAGAGGGTCATGTCCTCCTACAAAGAGGTGCGGATGCCGCTTAGCCAGCCTTCTCCAGCTTGGAGCCCTCCAGAGGTGTTGGGAGTACAGCTCCCATGGTCCCCAGCTACTGGCTGGGGATGATGGGATGCGTACTCCAGTACTTCTCAGCAGCTCCAGGAGTGAGGAAGACTGAACCAAACACTCGAGATGACTTGGAGGCATTGGGTGTCTCTGTTTATTAAAGGAAGGGAACAATAAGTCACAATGTTATATTATTCCTGAAAATGCACTTTTGTGGAGGCCGTGGAGGAGACCCAGTCAGGTCATGGGAAACCTGCAATCAAAACTTTCAGACATCAACTGCCAGACTCCTTGTAATGCCTTAGAGTCTGCCTTTTTAGGCAACGGGTGTTTTCCATCACCCACACATGTGACCTTTGACTCAGAGCTACTCACCACTAATTTATGGGGCTGATACTGATCTGTAACAGCCTAAACACTATGAAGCAACACATCCAACTCTGCCCTCCTGTGCATGCTGTGTTTGTGTACTTGGGAGTAAGCCCCATTAAACTCTATAGGAACCTACAGTGGTGCTTCGCTTAGCGATCACTCCATTGAGTGATGAAATTCCTTAGCGATGAGGTTTTGGCCATCGTCAGAGCAATTGCTTAGCGATGGCCCCTATGGGGAAAAATCGCTTTGCGATGATCGCAGGGAAGGGATCACCGCAAAGCCCCCATTTTCGGCCAGCTGATCGGCGGTTTCAAAAGGGCCACCGGAAAACAAAATGACCACCCGCTGTGTTGCCTCGCTTTAGAGGCACCAAAAATGGCCGCCGCAATGGAGGATCTTCGCATAAGGTTAGTTTTAAAGCCCATAGGAACGCATTAAACAAGTTTTAATGCGTTTCTATGGGCTTTTAAAAATCGCTTAGCGATTAAATCGCTTAGCAACATTTTTTCTGGAACGGATTAATGTCATTAAGCAAGGCATCACTGTATTTCAGAATAGAGACATGCATGGGGTCTCTCTTAAGAGAATTTTTTCTTCCTGTGCTCAGCAGCAGCCTCTGCACTGCTATTTTTTTTTAACTGTTCAAAATGGCTTCGTTCATTCCTACAACTAAACAGTCCTAGTTAGCAATTCCAAGCCTGTCCCATAGCAGTGCTATTCCTAAAAAATTCCCCACATGGGCTGTCAAGCCCATTCTGACTTACGGTGAACCTTATCAGAGTTTTCTAAGTACACTCAGAAGTGGCTAACCATTCCCTGGGGTCATCCTGGGACTGTGCAGCTTGCCCAAGGCCACACAGGCTGGCTCTTGTTCCGGGAGGGACAGTGGGGAATCAAACTCCCGACTGGCTATGCAGCCAGGTACCTAACTCACTGAGCTATGCGGCTATCTTGGGCACATAAAGATTATGCAAATTAAATATTGAGATGTGCAGATTAAACATTTTCTTGAGCTGTATAATTCTGCTTCTGCTAGCCCCCAGGATGAACCAGGAGCAGGTACAAAATCCTCATTGCTGGAATTTCTCCTTGTACGTCCCTTGAGATTTCACCTGGCAGTAGCCATAAATTTTTTTAAGTCTGTCTTTGAGTAATAAAGAACAGAAACTGGATTTTAAAAGAAAGAAAGCTGAGCTGCTTAGAGACATATATTTCAGTTTTATTGTTACTAGATTAAGGTGGGGCTGATTTTAAATTGGGGCTGGGAGAATGAGTGGCTGTAGCCAGTAGTCGGGAGTTGTAGTTTAGTAATACTTGGTGACTAGATGTTCTGCATCCCTGCTTTAAGCTGTTACACGTATTTTAATTAAATGACAGGCTTGTTCCAGCTTTTTTGTATTACAGGATGCCCTGATAGCTCTTTGGTAGAACTCCTACTACTCCCATTTAAATACATCTGAAGATCAGAGTACCAGTTTACATCATCTTGCGCTCTGGGTCTGCCTACTCGAGACTATATATCTGATCCTTTTCACTCGTGTTCTTCTACAGATACTGTACCGACCTGTTTGTTTCTTGACATGCCACTTGTTATGTAGAGATCAAAAACATGCTTTGAAAGATGTAATTGGACCACTGCAAAGTTCTGCAGTAATTCTGGGTACTGTATGTCATGGGTTAAAACAGCACAGAATATCACTTCTTCTTGGGCAGAAGCCTAGATGAGTCAAGATCTGACTTTCTTTTCTGGCAGGAAAAAAAGACCAAGCATGCTGCTTAAATACTGCCCCATATTTCTTAAAAAGCCTTTTCTGTGTGGTTTACAATTTAATTATGCAGGCTCATACAGCAGGATGCTTCAATTTTTCCTTCCTGTGGCAGGTGACTGAGTTGGCTGGATACACTGCACGAGTATATGAGATGTTCCAAGTGTTTGAAGATGTGACATCTTGCAACTTCCGGCGTCCTGGAGAGCTTGAGGAAAAGCAGGCTCATGCTGGGACAGTGATGCGGCATGGCGTGCGTGTAGAAGGACCGCTCCAAATACGAGGTAAGGCTCTCCACCTTCAAAGTACATCTGGCTGATGTGGCCCACTGGCCTCTTGCTGGTGCTTGGAAACTGCTGGACGCACCCCGCTAGATAAGGGGGCACCTGTAACGTCAGTAGCATCAAATGGTGGCACAAGCAGGAATCAAAGTAAAGTTGTATTCTTCTGCCCACTCACTGAGGAGTACATCCCTAGTGGGATTTTTTTTCTCAACCAGCATGCATAGGATCTGGCTGTAGACATCCAGAAGGAGCTAGGTGGCCCACATACAGGACCTGTTAACCCAGAATAAGCAAAGTGTGGCCCTCTGGATGTCATTGGACTGCAGCTCCCATCAGCCGTAACCATTGTAGCCCATGGCGATGGATGCTGGAGGCTGCAGTCTCCAAGAACATCTGGAGCACCACCACCAGTTGCTCGCCCCTGGGTTGAATGGTAGCATCTTCTCAGCTTTGCTCATTTGTCGAGTCTTTGTTTGGTGCCTGGTCCACTTTGGCTGATAATCCTGATCAGTCACTCCCCTGGATATTCAGTAGGTGACAAAAGACCTCCTTTTCAGTGGTCTGCCTTTGTCTGGGCTGTACCACCCTAGACTGCAGAGGAAATCTCCTAGAAGATGACGCAATACAAACCACAAACAAACAAAATTCTCTGTGCTTAGAACACTGGCATCTTCTCTGTTTAGCTGCTCTTCTCCCTTTTCTGTGAACAAAAAATAATTAAATTAGATCCTAGTGCTTAATTTTCTCTACTCTTTTGAATGGACACAATAACTAAAAAGAAAAAGGGAAGGAAAAGAAAAACACCGTGTGACAAAGACGATTAACTGAAACATGTCTTTTGGCATTTGGTTTCCTGTGTAGAGGAATTTAAATTTTGCACATATTTTTTGTATGGAGGTGTATGCAGGCAGGTGGGCATCTGCAATCTGTGCTGGTAATGCTCAGAGATAAGTAGGACACCTCACTGACTACTAGGTATCTCTACCAAAACATTGAGATGGAATTTCCCCCCATGCCCTAGGCCTGTTTGAACCTTGCATATCTTTTCTAACCCTCTCTAGGCTGTGCCGTGTACGGTTATTCTTGAGGGCAAGCAGACTGGAAATTGTCCATAATAGACATTTCAGTTTCTTTGTACAGTTGTTGTTGTTTAGTCCGACTCTTCATGACCCCATGGACCAGAGCACACCAGGCCCTGGTCCCCCATATTTGCGGGGAATCAGTTCCACAATTTACCATGAATACCTGAAACCACAGATATATGAACTCTCAAAGTTCATACAGTACAAGGAAGTGGGACAAAGGCCACAAAGGGCTATTCTTGTGTGTTGTATATAGATAGGGCTTCGGTAAACCTTGGGAAAGTGAAACCTTGGATACCAGTCCCGCGGATACAGAGGTCCTATGTGTTAAAATACTTGATACCATTAGTTTACCACTTTGAACTGTGGGCAAAATCGAAGAAAAATCCCAAACCATTTTTGATGATTTGCTGATGTTGTCAGCTGCCCTTCTCTGTTTGAGTACCAGGCTCTCTTTCTGACAGAAAGCCCTTTCCTGTGATCTCTGTGCTTCACCCATCTTCCAGGCACAGATGACCATATACAGAACAACTTTTCCAGTTAAACCCACCTCTTTCAGTCTCTTTTAGTTTCTGCTGCTCTGTGTCTGTTCTTGTTCTTTTTTTCCAATGTTGTGTCTCTCTCTTTCTCTCTCTCTGTCTCTCCCTCTTCCTCCCCCCCCCTGCTGCTCTTCAGCTTCTTCAGCTCTCCCAAATGGACCTTCTCTCCTTCCACCTCTCCCTCTCATTCTCTGCCCTTCCCTTCATCTGTTCAACGAGGCAGTTCTTGTGCTGTTTGCTCTCTGTTGGCGGTTGTTAACCTGGCTGCTCACATTCACACTTTTAAGCCAAAGGCCGCACTTCTAATTTTAGTTTGGTGTGTGTTGTGTGTTTGGGTGAGTTGGATTTATAGTCTCACCTTTCAACCCAAAATTTAAAAAGCTCAGATTGGGAGCTTAAAACTAACCAAGAATTCATAAGGTTCCACAAGAGAGCACTGTCTTTCATTGTGGATTTGGTGCCCAGTCTCTTCCTCCCCTACCCCTATCCCTCATCTCACCTCCACCCCTTCTTGCTTACAGGGCGTGTTGTTGATGTGGATAATGGAATTATCTGCGAAAACATCCCTATCATCACTCCCACAGGAGATGTAGTAGTCGGCAGCCTCAATATCCGTGTAAGTAGTCAAGACAAACAGAGGCTGGATCCAGTACGGCAAGTGGCTCAGTGTCCTCCTGTGTGTTGGCTACAAAGGGTGGTAAAGAAAGGCACACTTTTTTACCCAGCAAAGAAGGTAGTATAAGAGTGTGGAAGCCTTCAGAACCAGCATAAGAGATGGGCACAAAGTACTTCATGTGCCTTCATCATAAGTCATCTGCATGGCAGCACAGCTGCTGCACATTTCTTTCCCCCACTCACCTCCCCAGCAACTCACCTCACCAGCTGGCACACGCTGCTCCCTCCTCCCTATCCTGAGATCTTCCAGTCTGGGCAGGAACCTGGACTTCCCTTCTCTACCTCCTCCAGCAGCTGCCCACTCAAAAGGCAGCAGTGCAGGAATCCCTGCCCCACCTCCTTATCTGAGTGGCCAACTGCTAGAGGAGGTGGAGAAAGAAAGTCCAGGCTCCTGCCCAGACTGGAAGATCTCAGGATAGGGAGGGAGGTAGCAGCGTTTGCCAGCTGGTGAGTTGAGTTGCTGGGGAGGGGAGCAGGGGAAAGAAATGTGCAGCAGCTGTGCACTTCGTGCTCATCTCTAGTAGCAATATCTCAGTGATGGTGTAGGACTCAGGAGACCTGGGTTCAAATCCTTGCTCAGCCACAGAAATTCACTTGGGGGTGTGTGGAACTGGTAAAACCACTGTTTTAACACCTAAAATAACTTCAGAGCTCTATTAGGATTGCTATACATTGGTTCTGACTTGATGGCATGTAACACACACACACACACACACACACAGAGAGAGAGAGAGAGAGAGAGAGAGAGAGAGAGCAATATTTAAGGTCTCCTGAAAGTAAAACATTCAGGGTTTCACACTGCATAGTAGTCTTGCCTCTGACCAGGAAGCAATGTGCTTTAGTTTCCACACTGTGTGGGGGACATTGTTACTCCTACCGGAGTAAGGTTACCAGCTGGCTGTTAAGAGCTACCTGGTGTCCAGGGAATTGCAGGTGTCAGCTAACAAGACGGCTCTCAAGCCCACAAGAGACAATCCCCTCCAGACTTCTCGTCAAAGCACAGGAGCAAAACAGGCCTCCTTTTCCAGTCCGTTGAAATTTCTGTGGGTAAAATGTCCTCATTCTACCCTGGTTCTATCCTCTGGCAGGGCACGGATATTGAAAATGGTTTCTGGAGCAGAGTGCTGTTTCACATGGACTCCATGCTTCTATCTCCCTTCCAGATGGAAGGGCGATAGAAGCGTGGAGAAGGCTGTGGTGGGATCTGTAAGCTTTTTGTAGGCTGAGGGCCAGTGGGCAAGAGATATCTAGCAGCAGCGCTAGGGGGTGTGAGTGGGTGGGGGATGGCGTTGAACATGTCTGTTACGAAGTCAGGTGAGGGGGTGGAGGTGAGAGGCAAGACGTGGATTGGGCACAGGAATAAGGCCTTGATCGCTGCCTTCTGGCCATTATCTCTGTGCAAAAAGGGTTGGAAATGTGACAGGAATATAGAACCAGATAGGGAGAGAGGTAGTGAACTGACATGGTTCAGAGGTCACTCTTATGGCCCCAGATGGATAAAGTCAGCTGGCATATTGCCCGAGAGGGCTGGTAAGGTCACGGAGACAAACTCCTGCCATATGTTCTTGGGCATATTATTAGGATTCCTAGAAATGGAGGGCATTGGTTCAAAGGCCAAGAGGAGCCAGGGTGATCAGTCCTTCTTTCTGTCTTTCTGCTGCCCCCTTGCAGGTGGAGGAGGGAATGCACCTGTTGATCACAGGCCCCAATGGCTGCGGGAAGAGCTCCTTATTCCGGATCCTAGGGGGGCTCTGGCCGACCTACGAAGGTGTCCTCTACAAACCACCCCCCCATCGTATGTTCTACATTCCACAGAGGTATAAGCAGGCTTTTGCAGGGAAGGAATGGGAGAGAGAGGTACTCTGTAATACAGATCTGTTCAGCACTGGTTAGACCTCATCTAGACTAGTACCGTATCCAGTTCTGGACACTACACTTTAAGAAGGATGCCACCAAACTGGAGCAAGTTCAGAAGAGAGCAACAACGGTGATCAAGAGACTGGAAACCAAGCCCTATGAGGGAACACTGAAAGAAGTGGACATGTTTAACCTTGAGAAAAAAAGAACAAGGGGAGATCGGATAACAATTTTCAAATACTCAACAGGGAGTCATACAGAGGAGGTGCAGGATCTGTTCTTGATCATTCCCGAAGCCAGATTTAGGCTGAATATCAGGAAAAAAAAACTTCATAATTGTTAGAGCAGTACAATGGAACTGATTAGGTGATGTGAGAGGTGGTGAGTGCTCCAACACGGGAAGCATTCAAGAGAAAATCGGACAACCATCTGTCAGATCTGCTTTGATTTGATTTATATTCCTGCCTTGGGAAGGAGGTTGGACTCGATGCCTTATAGGCTCCTTCCAAGTCCATTATTCTATGATTCTTAGAAGAAATAAGTTACAAGTAACATCATGTCTTATAATGAGTTACCTCTCAATAACAAAGACATGAAAATGTCACATTTCAACAGTTATGGGAATGAAGTTACTATTTGTCCTGGTGTAACAAATGGATTTTCCAGCTGCTTTAAGGCCATTGAAAGTAGAGACGATGAGAGACATTTTGGTAGGGATTGTTGAAGTTTTACTCTGTTCTCTCATTCGATCTAAGTTACTCTTGTTTAAGTAATGAAAATATGGTAAAAGCAACAAATGACATAGTATTTTCTGAAGTCAACGAACGACAACAGTGAACTAACTACTTTTTAAAGTCTCTTATGAGTAATGGGAACAAATTACTTGTACAAAAACTTTTCAGGCTCCAGCATAATGAAATCAGAAAGGTAGGATTCCTAACTTCTGTTCCAAGTGTTGTGTGAGGAATCATTTAAAATCAGCAGTGCTGTGGAAATTTAGATGCTTGTGTACATGCTGCTACTCAGAATGTTAATCATTTTTTATCTTTGGGGAAAAGAATGAGACAGAACTATGGCCCTTGCTGCCAAATTCCAAACAGGTAGCCATATTTGTTTATTTATTTAAAATATTTGCTTACCCTACCTTTCTCCTTTAAAAGGACCCAAGGCAGTGTACATCATTAAAAGACAATATACGAACACTAAAAAGGATCCAACAAAGACCACCGCTAATGAAAGCAACACCAAAAGCATTCAAAGCCAAAAGGCACAGCAATCTGTTTTCAAACCCTTCTTGCAGCCGGTCATTAAGTCATGCTCATCTTTTGTTATTAGTCATGCTGGCAAAGAGGCTGACGTGTGGGTGCCTGACCACCCTCTCCATCTGTAATACAAAGATCACGACTCTGACCCACTTGAATGGGCTGCTGAAAGCATTACTGAAACATAGTGGTGAAATCCTGTTGTGCAGTTACGCAAACGGTGTAACTTTTGGAAGCAAACTGCCATAAATTAACACATCTCGTAAGTGCTCTATAGCAGTGGTCCCCAACCTTGGGCCTCCAGATGTTCTGGGACTTTAACTCCCAGAAATCCTGGCCAGCAGAAGTGGTAGTGAAGGCTTTTGGGAGTTGTAGTCCAAGAACATCTGGAGGTCCAAGGTTGGGGACCACTGCTCTATAGGGTTTCAAACAGTATGTGGGGGGGGGGAGCTTTGAATCTTTTCAAATGTCCTGTAAATGACCTATGCCAGGAACTGGATAGGAAGTCTTGTGTCCCTTGTTGGTTCTGCTGGATCTCTCAGTGGCTTTCGATACTATTGACCATGGTATCCTCCTGACCTCTGTCTGTGGAATGGGACTTAGGGGCCCTGTTTTATGGTGGCTCCAGTCCTTCCTGGAGGAGAGAGCTCAGAAGAGGCAGTGCTGGGGACAGGATTCCTGTTCGACACCCTGGCCACCAACCTGTGAGGCCCCACGGGGATCTCTTTTGTCTCCGAACATCAACATGAAACCACTGGGAGAGATTATCCAAGAGTTTTGGGGTTTGGTGTCACCAATATCCTGATGATATCCAACTCCTTGCCCATCTAAATCCAATGAAGTTATTTCGGGTCTAGATCAGTGTCTGGTATCAGTCATGGGCTGGATGGGAGTGAATAAAACTTAATCCAGACAAAACAGAGGTGTCCCTGGTCCATCAAAAGGCAGTTCAAGAAATAGAGGGGCAACTCCACTGGCTGTTTCTGGGCAAAATTCAAAGTGTTGGCTTTAACTTCTAGAGCCCTAAATGGCCTGGGTCCAAGCTATCTCAAAGACTGTGTCTCCCATTATGAAGCCGGCTCAGGTGTTAGGATCATCGGGGAGGCCTTTCTCTTGGTCCTACCCACCTTCAGAAGTGTGTCTGGTGGGGACCCAGGAGAGGGGCTTTTCTTTTGCTGCTCCCAGACTTTGGAACTCCCTCCCACTGGAGGCCAGGCTGGCCCGCATCTTTGCTATCCTTCCGCAAGCAGGCAAAGACCTTTCCCTTCAAACAAGCCTTCCCTGAGTGGCTGGCTACAGGAGTGTGGCTTGTAGATGGATTGTTACGTGTTACTGCTCTGACTGGGTTTTGAGTACTACGTAGGGTTACCATCTCTCAGAGTGGTACTTGTTTGTTCCTTTTTAATATTTGTATACTTACTGTTTTAGCTTTAAATATTGTCTTTTGATTATGTAAGTGTATCTGCTTGGTGTTTCAATTTTCAATTGTTTCAATTGCAGGCCATACATGTCTGTGGGCACCCTGCGGGACCAGGTCATCTACCCAGACACAGCAGAGGATATGGCACAGAAAGGAAAGACGGATGCTGACCTTGAGCGTATATTACGCATTGTCAACCTGATCTATATTGTGCAGCGAGAGGGAGGTAAGTACCACTGGAAGCAGCAGGCCATGTCCCGGTCGGGCAAAGAAGAAGGAAATCCCCATGAACGTAGGGGAGACAGCTGGTTCGCAACATATTTTAACGTGCTACTCTCTAGTTATACATGAAGCAGGAAGTGGATGGGCCAGTGAGGGGCTTGCCAGGGCTTGAGCCATCACCTGGAGACTGTGTGGCCATGGAAATCTCTCTTCTTCTTCTTTTTTTCTTCTTTTTTTCCTATTTGTGGGTGGAGCCAGGCTGGGAAGCAGTCAGCGACTGGAAGGACGTGCTCTCAGGTGGCGAGAAACAGCGAATGGGGATGGCTCGGATGTTCTACCACAGGTTAGTGTCTGGAAATGCAATGGAAGCGTCTGGTTGTTTTTTCTTTCCCTTTTGTTCTTCCTCCAATCAGTTGCACCGCAGATTTCCCTGCGGGGAGGCAGGAGTCTTCCTGAACTTGCTGATCACACCACATCTCTTTTCTCCCAGCAAAAAAGGAGAACTAAAGCTAGGCCCCAGGGTTAGTCTGGGAAGTTTACCAGGGCAACAGAAAAGGGACATGGTCAGGATCACAGCCAAAGGGTAGAAGAAGAACAGACTGAGCGAGACGAGGGAAAGAAAAGGAAGTGAGACAGCATAGCAGCAAAACAGGAGGGTGTGTGTGATCTGGGTAGACCGAACGGGCAAGACAGACTCAAACTGGGTCTCTCACGTGGACCTGCTTCATCCTCCTAGGCCAAAATATGCTCTGCTGGATGAATGCACCAGTGCGGTCAGTATCGATGTAGAAGGCAAGATCTTCCAAGCAGCAAAGGATGCCGGGATAGCACTGCTCTCCATCACCCATCGACCTTCGCTATGGTACGTCTTGATCCTGTCCCCATGTCCTTCAGACCGGAATGTTAGCCTTCTGGTAACGATGTGAGGATGCAGCAGGTTTGTAAAATGAGCACACGTCTTTGAACTAGGAGTAATCACTGAAGAGATTTTATGGTAAGGAAAAAAGGAAAAACACGTCCCTTGTGGTTCCAAGACTTGAATCAGGAGAAAATTAGATTAGGGGCCAGGGAATCAGATGTGGGCGTGGAAGCCCCTAGAGCTGACTTCCGTGTGTTTAACATGCCCAGTAAGGAGGCACCTCCATGGCTGGCCCTCCTCTGCATTAAAATAAAAGGAGAAGCAAGAAGAGATTGTTTCTTTGACAGAGACAGAAATGATTAGAGGAAAAAGTGATCCAAGGGCAATGACCTACAAGTGGACACTTTAAAAAAGGAAGAGAGGCCAAAATGTGCTGTCACACCTGGCGCTCTCTCTGTTCATCTCTCCTCCTACATCCCTCCCCCAGTTAACTGAAATATGGCCTTGCCGTATTACAGTAGGGCCCCCACCATCCACAGGATCAATATCCACAGATTCACTTATCCACTGCCTGAAAATACTCCCTCTGTCTCTCACTCGCTCTCTTGTGTGTGCTCTCTCTCTAGAGATATATCCAAAGTGCATTTGCCAGACCTGGCCACTAGAGGGAGCCAGAGGCCATGTAATGTATAGCATTCAATACTTCCATGTTTTTCAGCATCTGTGGGGGGCTTGCAATTGATCCCCCATGGATATCCCAGTCTGCCAGTGGACCTTCTTTCCTGGTCCACTGGCCCTTGCTAAAAGGACCTTTTCCTCTCCTTTTTTAAAATCAGTATCTTTGTTACATACATATCCCACCCTTACTCAAGGCTTCCTATTTCAGTTTTGCATTCACTGGCTCCCAATAACGGCAGCCTCTTTATGCCATATGCTCCCCTGGACCTTCTTCAAAGATCCTTTTCTTATGCACAGCTCTACGGCTCTGTGGCTAGTTAGGATCAGTTGGCTGCCACAGACTCAGTCTTACTCTGCCTTTCTCTGCTCCAACTCTACATCTTGTGGGATCAGCCACCCACTCGCTCATATGTTGAGCCTTTGAGGGGCCAGGAGGAGAGCTAGAAGAAGTCTTGCTGAAGGCCTCTTAAGGGATTCCGTGGTGTCTCTCTTCTTCCCCGAGAATAGACTCTTACCACTAAGAAGTGGAATCTGTGTGCTGGCTTTGCCTGTCTGGAACTCAGCCACCATCCTCTTTTTTTTTTCCTACCCCATCAGGGGACTTGGAGGAGGAATGGGAAGTATTAGAAAGGGACATGTATTTGTTTTATTTATTCATCAGGTATACTTACATTCCTCTTTTCCATCAGTGAAGTATATGTGGCTGTCCTCCCCTTTCTCTCTGCTTGACCTTCCAAATAGCCCCATGGAGCAGGACAGACAGACACACACACACACACACACACACACACACACACACACACACACATACAGAGAGAGAGAGAGAGAGAGAGAGAAAGCAAATGCCTAACCCAAGGTCCTCCTGTGAATGTCATGGCCAGTTGGGGACTGAACCTGGCTCTCCTGTCCAGTGCTCCAGTCATTGCAACACACTGTCTCTGTGCTGGAAGGGCCCTCTCTATTACTCAGCTGCTTCTGGGCTCTCATTATAATATGCCAGATAACCACCCCGTGCTCCGGATTCAGTGCCAGGAAGAAGTATCTCCCTCTTCCAGTAACCTTAATTACTCTGGATAGATCTGTTTTCATCTCATTTTGGAAACTAAGAAAGCCTGGCCTTTTTCAGTCTTTGGGTAGGAAAGAATCCTGCTTGAAATCCCCAGAGAAATTGATGCTGCCAGTCTGAGCTGATACTACAAGGGTAGACAGACCAACCATCTGAGTCAGCTTAAGGCTATGATGTTCCTAATCCCACCCTCAGTTACATTTATCGTGACTGTGGTAAGAGCCAAATGATCACCCCCTTTCCTCCTTCCAGCAAGGTGGCTGCCATTTTTTAAAACTAGCATATCTGCAGTTTCTTTCCCAACTCCCTGCCTCCTCTCAGCTCAGGGCTTGAGCACACCTGCCAGAAGAACTCCAGTTACACCAATTTGGCCATTACACGACATATGGCCAACATCAATTCATTTGCTCTGGCAATCAATCTCCCTCTCACCAAGAGAATCATTTTAAATTGTACCAATGATAAATTGTTCCATTCTTTATTGTTTCAATGGCTGTTGATTTATTTCCTTTGCAAAGGGGACAATTTCTAGGCGCTGTGGCCACTTCATGGTGTGGCTACTGTGCTTGTACCTTTAAAAAACACTTTAAGGGATATTGATAAATCACTAGTAGCCGCTGTCACAAAAAAATTAATACATTGCTCAGAAGGACACAGCCTTCTCCTTCCCCCTTGCCTTTGTGAGTGAAGGAGGGCTTGAGATTTCCTTCTTTGAATTGTAAAGAAAAGAGAGTTGCCTTTTTTTAAAACCCTGCTCTTCACAGTACTTTGCAAGTCTTTTAAAACCCGCTTCCTCCTGCTGGCACTGTTCAAAAGGGAAAAGAAAAATTAAAGCCAAGAACTGAAAAGAAGAGATATGTAGGGAAATAAGGAAAAGGGGATGAGTGAGTAAAGGAGAGAAGGGAAAAGGGGAGGAGGAGAGAAGACTCCTACTACTTAATTGATATATTACCTTTTGTAATTTTTTTAAAGGATAAGGGAGAGGCTGATTGCCACAAAAAACACTAGAGAAAATGAATCCGTATAATATTAAAGAGTAGTGTAGCCTGCTATAACAGTTCAAACAGAAATAAATGAATCCACACAAGTTAAAAACAATGTAAATGCTCTCACCGATGTATATACTATGTGATGCAGAAAAAGTGTATCGGTACAACAGAGGGTTGAAATGAGTCAGTACAACTGGGGTTCTTTTCTCTCATGTGGTCAAGCCCTTAGTTAGCCAAGGCAGAGAGTTCCTGCTGAGCCTGCAGAAGTAGGAAACCTCCTGCCATTTGCCCTGCTGACCAGCAGAGGCTGCTATAGACTGCCCCTCCAGTCTGCTGCCCTTTAGGCTGAAGGCTGGGCAGCCCAGGAGTTTTTCCTGGGACCTCCTTGCAAGGGAATCCCTTGACTGCAGATATCCCGAAGACCTCCTTGAAGGAGCCATGCTTTCTGACAGGAGAGGATGCACCTGCTGAGTTCTTCCTTCCTGTGCCTGTCGGGAAGGGGACGGGACGCCAGTTCTGTTTGGAAGCCAGCAGCTGTTGGGCCTGCTGCCCGCTGCCCTCCTCCCTGCGCTCCAAAGGCTTCCTCTTCTCCTGATATCTCTCCCTGCTTCCATCAGCCCCTCTGGTCCCTGGCTGCTCTCCCGAGCAGGGAGTCACGTCCCCAGCAGGAAGCTGTGCGGGTGGGGGAGGGCGTTGCGGCCTCATCCCTGGAGACTGAGAGCTGCTTTGTTCCTGCCTCCCCCAGAAACATCTCAGTGGAAAACTCCCCTCCCTGTGGGGAGCCAGGGATGCCAACCCCACCCACACACAGGGCCCCGGCTGGACCTAAAAGAATAAGGTGG